ATGGTTGAAGAGGCGCTCCGAATATTTGCCAAGCAGAATCTTGGGGATGAAGAATATTACCCAATTTATCAAGGAGCGACACGTGAAATACGAGTACTTGCGCTAATGGCAAAAGAGGAAAGAAATGTCTTGCTTCGTCCGTTCAAAAAGAATAAGTTCACCATCCTTGCAGAATTGGCAGCGTACGTAGAGCAAAGCAAAAGAGAAGAACTTCTGGGTGCTTTGTCCAGAGAGATTAGAAAAGAAGAATCGTTAGAGCTGAAAAACGACGAAGACGACGAGGAAGATGACGATGACGATGACTACGAACCTAGAAGGTAAGATCATTGATGAATGCTCATTAGCGTTTTGACTGTGGGTCATAAAAATGCCGAATTCGCCGAAAAAAGGAAAAAGGATGTGGAAAATGACTAGTCAATATTGGGCTCTTATGACGTTACCGCATGCCAACTCGAGGAAGCCCCCCGGTTTTTGGTACCTAATGAAGACGATGGAAGCTGGAAGTTACCAGCCATAACAATGTCCAACGATTTCAACGTTGTCTTTTCTTTTTGGTGTTAGTTTTCCTTTTTTTTCCAAGTAATCCTCAGCCGACTAAGGATCATATCTGGTCCAAAGCATTTACATTTTCCCTTTTTCCGTTTTCCCAAGACATATACATAACAAGCTCTTAATTAACAGCCATGGACCGCGGAGACCATTTTAAAGTGGTAGGGCTAAAAAATCTGGCCAGTACAAGAAAACATTAAGGTGAGCGTTTCGCCACTTAAATTGCACTTGCGCGCCATCCTATTTACAGCCTTAATGAATGTAACATAAAGGTCCACACGTGCTATACTATCCAATATAGTCAATATGTTAAATAAACCTACTTAAGATTGCTACTTGTTGAAGTTGCGGTTCTCATTGCGGAAAAGAAACTCCTGTGCAACCCTATAGAGACACTGTCTGTTCATTACTAGGTTGCTAAACCTTTCGCGATCCATCCTATGGCCGTGCAGATGAGAATAAACGCTCCCCAGTATAGTAGCGCTGGTAGCAGGATTTACAGCAAGCAGCTTACAGATATTTTGTTCTGCTTCTGGAAACTTTGAAAACTGCCAACAGGATTTCGTCAAAACACGATGTCTTCTCTTCATTTAACATATCTTCCAAAATGCTTAGTTGTCCAGGTAGCGCCCATGTATCAACATTTTAGCCTGCGAACGGCAGACGTTTCTCCTCGCTCATCGCCGCTGAGGGACGTGTCGCAAGGAGAAACGTCTACCGTTCGCAGGCTATCAACATTTTTGCTGTATGATGCCTCAAGAATCTTGAACTCTGCCTCATAGTCGTCACCATTACCAGCTTTAACCAAGAAAGTCTCCATCTGGGCGTAGGAGCTGAAGCTTTCCTGATTAAAGCGCTGATCGAAGGCACTAACGATAAGATCAATAGCCTCGTAATAGACCTTTCTTAAAAGTGATCTTTAGCAGTTTGGAAAAATAGCTTAGGTGCACCAACACCAACCTCCAGTCTGGCCGGAGCGCGTCGCTTTCTTAGGAGCGTCGGTTCGCCAACCAGGCGAGCAATGGTCAAAGCTCTGATCAGTGCGCTTTTATGTGAGCGTCTCGTTTGTGACATCCGAGCCTTTGACGTGAGGTAAATATGCAAGAGTAGACGCCATTTATTACTTTCAAGTTGAAAAATCCATACTTTTTCCATGTCAACTGGAGCGCTAGATAATAAATCCAAGCAATAAAAGTGGTAGGGCTATAGCCCTACCAGCCCCTCCCCCTCCGCGGTCCCTGACAGCTGAAACAGCGAGCTGAGGATCGGTTTTCAGGAGACGTTTACCGATTGTAAGGCCAATGGACGAGTTTGCACGACGAGAGCCTTCAGTTTCTAGAGCATCGTATAATGACAGTGTTTTTCTCTCTTTAATTTAGTGATATAGACGTTGGATTTGATGTAGAAGGTGTTGCGAGTGCGACGATTAAGATTAACAGAGAACTTGGAAAGCTGAAACTGGGAAAAATAGACCGAGAGTACATACGAGACCCGGAGTTACGTGCTATATTGGCCAGTACAGAACTGGACATCAACATATTTAAACCGTATATTGATCGCAAACTGCGTTTGATAACTTCAGTGGTTTACAGCGAGCATTTTGAACTCAAAGGCAGAAGACGTCTTGAGGTATTTAAACTTAACTTTGTTAGAAACAAGATTGAAGTACGTCGATCTAACAGCTCATTCCATCGGAACTTTTCCGAAAAAAGTTGTTCTTTCCGACGATTTTCTCATGTGCGACCTGTTTCTTTGCAACCACAGATCACGGCGCGCGATCTATGGTAGAACATATAGCGAAATAGCATTAGTAACACAATCTCAAAAACTATGGAAGCCGTAGGCATGTAATCCGGCACTCTAAGACAAGCAGAGTTAATGTTTATTACTACTATTATGAACGCATTTTTACCTAAAATATTGTGTATTGTCGTTGTTGTAGCAGAAGACGGCGAATTGTAGCGATTTAAAGGGTGTTGCACACACTTCAAATCGCTAAAATTCATTTTTGCCACATTCACCAAAATGTTTGTGTGGGCCCCTGTGAACAATTGAGAAGACTGAGGCTTGGAGGACATAAATAACTGGCATTTGAGTTTTACCTCTAACATGTCCTAGTCTCTTGTTTTTTTTTTTCAGACAAACATTTTCCTACATATTGCTGTGTTAAGTATATAAACGCTACAAGGACCAAATGACTGCCCGAGTAAAGGCTAGTTTTATTTGCCCCTCTTGATTATTGGCTCAACAGGGTTCTATCTAGGGTATTTGAGGGGTAGAAGCTCCCCCCCCGAAATGTCCAGCTTCCCCCCCAAAAAAATTAATATTGTTGTCAGTACAGTATTAAGTAACTATATCGTCACTGCAGGTCACTGCACACACTGTAATACTTCTCAAAATTGTGTCTCAAAATGCACCAAATTCATCTCAGCACATATTCATTTCAAAAATTTTGGGGAGGGGGCATGCCCCTGGACCACCCTAGGAAGCTCGTGGCCTTCGGCCACTCGGGACTTCTCCCCTAAACGATAAATCCTGGATAGAACCTTGCTCAAGAAAATACTCATTTTGCTCGTTAATCTTATTCTTAAGGTTGAGGGGCGCGCAGGAGTTACAATTCCAATAGACGCTTTCCTTGCTAAATTGAAGGGACACTTAAAAGAGGTCGTCATTCCACCGAAGTTGGCGGAAAGAAACAATCGTGGGCCTGTTCTCTTTAAGTGTTGCCGCGTGGTTTTCAACAAACAAACTAATAAATTAGAACTTCCAGAAGGGGAGGATGTTGGTACAGCTGTCACCAGACTCTTTGAAGACTATGAAGCAGAGGAACATAAGAATACTATAGTAGGTCTGAAGGAGGACGAGGAGAGCGATTTAGCAGGTATGAGCCCCCGGGGGTCCTCCAGAAAGGGGTACCTTTTTCAGGCTTCAGTTATATGAAAGGATAGGGATTTTACTAGTTGAAATATTAGAAAGGGTAGGAAATTCTGCTAATAGATGCATTTTATGGCAGTGAAAAATTTGAAAAAACGTTCTAGTTTTGTGATTTCTTCATATTTAAACGACAGGGAGTTTGCGCCAGTTAAAAGGGTTGTCAAAAGTCTAAATTAGGTATGTAAAAAAGGTACCATTTAGAGTAAACGGGTTTATTTTTCTGCCCAAATAGGTATATAAAATGGTTAAGGGTTGGATCTTGGGGAGGAGCCTCCCCGTATAAAAGTACCCCCGGTTATGAGCCCGGATCCGCCACGTTCACGGCGTGACTGGAAGCAGTGCGTATTAGCAGTGTCTTTCTCACTGTCCTGTTTCTGGAAATATTCGCTTGGCTTGCCCGGCGAGTGTTATTATTTGAAAAGTTCCAATCCGCTTAGCTGTTGCCTGAAAAAACTGCCATACCGTAAAATTCCGAAAATAAGCCCCGGGGGTTATATTTTTCTAAGGCCTCTTTTGAGGGGCTTATCTACGAAGGGAAGTTTATGTTTAAAATCGATTGGGCTAGCCTTATAGGTGGAAGTAAATTTACCGTTTTTGCTTTGTTTTACTTAATATTTGAGGGCAATTTTCCAAGTACGAGCCCCCGGGGGGCTTATTTTTGGAGGAGCGATTTAACGGAGGGTTTTTTGCGTTACCGGTTTGGGGGACTTATATTTGAAGGGGCTTATTTTCGGAAGTTTACTGTAACTTTGCGACGCTTCCACTGGTTTCCCCGCGAAATGACGTTTGAGAAAACATTAAGTAGTAACAGGTCATCAGTGTGGAATTCCTGTGCCCCTTCCTCAGACATCCTTTCATGGGGAAATCAGTTGTAGTATCGCGACATGTCGGCTGTTTTCTCAGGCAAGGTTAGCTGGGGTCCCGGAATCACGATATGGGGATCCCAGTTTACCGGGCCGGCTCGGTTGTATATGTAATCGTGAAGTTGATTTTTGTTCCGTTTTGTGCCAAGATGTCGACAATTAACAATTAGTTCATACGTCAGCGTGCGTATGTCCTGATATTGAGCAGGCAGGAAGTTTGGAGAGCACGAAAGAGGCGTAAGAGTTGCTCGAGGGGCAGCCGAGAGTAACTCTAGCCTCTTGAGTGCCGTCCAAACTTCCCAAGTGCTCAATATCTCGACATACGCACAGCTGAAGCATGAACTAACTGTTTTATAACATTATTAAAGCGATAAATGCAGCAGTTAACTTGAATTTTTGTTCTTGAAGCGCGCCCTCAAAGCAGTACACGTCAATGTCTACGTGACTATATTTTTTTACCTCACAATTATGTTTTTGTCTTAGTGAAACTGAGAGAAAGTTTAATCAAGTCGCTTAAGATAACAGTGAAAAAGATTGTAAAATCCACATTGAGGTGCTTCACCAAAAAATTCTTTTTGAAAGAAATAACTTTACAAAGAATGATTTGCACCCTTGCGCAGATGTCAACAACATCTTCACCTCTTTTCCCTACTATCGGTTGGCAAATGCAAAAGTTTTCTCTTAAATTTACGTTATAAAACACATGGTTAACGCTTCATTGTGTACTGTTAAGTTATGGATGCACTTGGGAGACGTCTTGGGAGGATTGCTAAGCTTACAAGAACTCGCGGTATAGTTTATTGGCGTCATCAGCGTGCTCGATGGGAATATGAAGCACGCTCGCGCTATTGAATTTGAATAGACGAATTCTCTAGCTATGTTATAAATTGAGCTAACCCAGTTCATTTGATCAGCCCCTAGAAAAGACATATTTTCGTACCTTAGAGAGGTTTGGGCCTTGCGGATGCTGAAAGAAAATGACAAATATCCATGTTTACTCCGTGATGGTTGAAATTTATCCTTGTTGATTTATGACAGCGAGTCTAAGTATGAGCGAGTTTGAGTCAAGAAAGTGATCCAATAATATAAGATACCATAATTATATACATGTATTTTCTTCATGTTAGATTTCTTTTCGGATGAATACGAAGATAGCAAGAAGCTGGAGAGAATTAAGACATCAGTTTTGAAGCCAAGCAAGGACAGAGCAGAGAGGAAAGCGCGGATCAACAAGTATCTCAGCTGGGTTAGTGAGATCATTGTAAACAAGTTACAACTCTCTTTGTATGTTATACACAAAAATCAAACTAACAAACACAAGTTACAACTCTCTTTTTATGTTATACACACAAAAAACTAACAAACAATCAAACAAACAAGTTTGTGTAGTAGGGAATTCAAGCTGTTATTGTGGATGTTATTTAATAAGTACTTCCATAATACAGAATAATCAGGGCTGTCTACGTGGCAGGTAGCACAGGTGGCCCAAGCATAATATGAGAGTTTGTATGGGAAAAATAGAGTTTGAAACTTAGATGAAATTAATGAAGTAAAAGCGATAAAAGTTATCAATAAATTATTACCTGGAGTCGTTGTCTTTGTTTTTACGAAGTTTCAGCGCGATTTGGTACTTTTACATCATCTGACCTGACAGTGTAATAATAAGAGACTCTTATTATTACACTGACGGGTCAGATGATGTAAAAGTACTCAAATCGCGCTGAAATTTGGAAAAGCAAAGACAACGACTCCAGGTAATAATTTATTGATAACTTTTATCGCCTTTACTTCATTTATTTCATCTAAGTTTCAAACTCTATTTTTCCCATACAAACTCTCATATTACGCTTGGGCCACCTGTGCAGGTAGTATGCATTGCAGTGCAAAAATGAAAGCGGATATCGTAGAGAGTACAAGCGCCTCATGGCCTGCGTACGTGGAACGCAGTAGCCTGAGAAAACAGCCGACATATCGCGACGCCACCACTGGTCTCTTCGCGAAATGATGTCTGAGGAACGGGCTCAGAAATTCCATACTTCTGACGTGTCACTATCCAGATCTGGGTGGTTGGCTTCTGATTGATTGAAGCAAATTTTCAACCAATCAGAAGCACGACCAAGATCTAGGTAGTGACACGTTTTTCATCAGTATGAAATCTCTGCGCTTATTCCTCAGATGTCATTTCGTGGGAAACTGTTGGTAGCATTGCGATTCCGAAATATCGGCTGGGAATGCAGACTAGAAGAAATTTTAGCAACCGTAACATCGCACTGATTGCACCATAAAGCAATGTTTGAGAACGAACCCTTATTCGTGGCAGTGTATTGTTCAGTTAAGCACTTTTGCATACGTTTTTTGTTTGAAATAGTCCCCTGAAATAATTTTCAAGCCGGGAATTTAAACTGTAATCTTTTCTTTCGTTTAATTATAGTTTGAAAAAGCCTTGACACAGAAACCGAAGACCTTGTTGCTTGAGGAACCTCTTAACGATGACGACTGCACATTCCTTCGTAGCATCTTTCTCAGTGCAACTCCCAATCAACGTACAGTAGATATGACAGAGTTTAAAATGGAAAAGATTCAGGGATATGCAGTTATTTTTAAGCTACTTGCAGGTGAGATTGAGTGTAAAGGAATTCCAGACCATTGGACTGGGTAAGATTTTTCTAGGGCGGTGGTGATATGAGCATCCCCTTCTTACATTACCTTAGCGATGTGGTTATCACTAGGGTTTTTGGAATGGGGATGCCCATATCACTGTGACAGCGGCGAAGGGCAGAAGTGAAAGTGCCTCGTACTTAAGTGGCCGAACCCAAAGATGTAGTGTCAGTGGCAAACTATCATCTGCTCGTACCCTCAGTTGCGGCGTGCCGCAGGGTAGCATATTGGGTCCTTTGCTATTTTTAATTTACATTAATGATCTTCCCAACTCCCTGCGGGGCGCCGTACCAAGAATGTTTGCCGATGACATCAACCTTACGCCATCTGCTAAGACGTTAACAGAGCTTAAGCTAGCTCTAACCCCTGAATTAAATAACCTTAGCTGTTGGCTGAAAGCTAACAAGCTTAGTCTAAATGTTGCTAAAACAGAGCTAATGATTATTGGATCAAGATAAAGACTATCTGCCCAATGTGACGATGTAGAAATCAGAATTGATGACCAAATTATCAAGAGAGTCGATCATGCCAAATCCTTGGGTCTAACCATAGATGCTGAACTCTCCTGGGGTAAACACGTTGAAGAGATTTGCAGGAAAGTCTCTTCAGCTATAGGCGCCCTAAAACGTGTGCGGCCGTTTATATCCAAAGAAACTGCAATTCAAATTTATAACGCCTTAATTAAGCCTCATTTTGATTACTGCAGCCCCGTCTGGGACTGTTTGAGTGGTTACTTGAGTGATAAGCTCCAAAAATTACAGAATCGTGCAGCCAGAGTTATTACTAAATCACCCTTTGATGCAAGCTCAAACCACCTTCTCTCCACCCTCAGCTGGGAGAGGCTATCTCTTCGACGAAAGAAACAAAAAGCCTTAATGATGTATAAAACCATGAATGACCTTGCTCCGGAATATCTACAAAGTCTTTTCTCTCAGCGTCACTCTGCTTACAACTTAAGAAACTCTGAGGGAAGGCTGACCCTGTCCAAACCAAGCACCAATTATTTGAAACGAAGCTTCTCTTACAGCGGGGCCATGTTATGGAATAACTTGCCCAAAAACTTAAAAAATGCTGCATCCGTTGAGCATTTTAAGCGAAATATCAAGAAGGTAGCTGATATATCGGATTCCCACACGGCAATCATATAAAGCAGTTGTAATTAGTTTTAGTTTTTAACTTAAGCTTAACTGATGATTTCCCGTGTTTAAATAAAGATTTACATACATACATGGGAAAATGCAGCCTGGTGATAAAGAGGTGTTAGGAGAAATGTCCAAAGCTATTTCCTGGTTGATATGGTTTACAGACTGTCCAACCTTTTAAGAATAAAAATTCGGGAGATTCAGTTTAACCACAGCCGAAAAACGCGAGCGTCAAAGGTCTGAGCCTCTAGGGTGGGAGGTATGGGACATGCTTCCTCAGAAAATTTGAAATTTTGATGATTTGAAAGGCTTCTTCTGTGTTCGTAAAGGACAAATTCTCTGTTGAAAATATTCGGTAAATCGATCGCCATTTTTCTGTGGCTTGTTTTCTGTAACAATTGACCATCAAGATAGCGGACACAATCACAAATCCTTTATTAGCTTGCGTGGCTTCGCGTACAAGTACTTGCAGATTTTGTTTTGAATTAATTTCTTGCGGTTAGGTTTCTTCTGTTTTCTATATCAGTTTTAACTGAAACTATAAAAGTGTACTCTGTTTCGAGTTCTTGTGTAAGTATCATAAGAATTGGATGAAAATATCAGAACTGATGTCAAAATCGGGTTTCTTCCTATTCCCGTCGTAGTTTTCAAGCAAAATCAGGGCACTCACGAGGAGAGCAGGATGGTTGGACAACCTGGGTTTAACGTAGCTACACTGTGTGATTTACTATAAACACTTTGGTGATCTTTGGTGGTCACTTTTCAGCGCTTTCCAACTGTGACAAGTGCTGTAAAGGATTTTAAGAGAAGAAAAGTTGAAGTTGTGTCTACCGATACAACAACTAAAAGACTAAGGAACACAAAACCCGTTGTTTCATTAAATAATAAAAATTTTCCATGCTATTGGCTTTTCACGTTAACTATTTAATATTTAATTCTTTTTGAAAATTAGGTTTGTCTGACACGGACTGGAATGAAGTCGAAAAGGCCTGGGCTGAGTGAAGATAAACAAGTCAAGGAACGCGATCTTCGTCAACCAAATGAATTACATTAAGTTTTGCAGTTATATTACAGACAGTCTCTTTAAAAAATGGATTCTAAGCAGCTGTTTTGCAGATTTACTGCTGGGTAGATTTAAAAATTTCTAACCCCTAATTTTACAAGAATAGGGTGAGTTGAAAACACTGACCCTCGGTCCGCGGACTACCCACTGACCGCACTGCGCTGCCTACTGATTCATGAACAGCCGCCTTCTTGCATGTTGCCTGTTTCCTCGACCTTTTTTCAGTCTCGCCCCATTCTTTTGTTGGTCGTTCAAAAGAGTGGGGATCGGAGGATCATTTGACTGTTGAGGGTGGGCGAGGTAGGGAGGGGGGTTATTGGTGATTTCAGAAAAAACATCCTGCAGAATGATTTCCAAGGAAAAAATATCTGCACTGAACAAAAAAAAAAACTCATGGCGTATAATGCTGGGAAAAAAACTTACACCGTTATATGACGGGGAAAATTCTTAACCAAACCAAATCACCCACACCTTCCCCCCCCCCCGCCTCCTCAAAAGTCAAATGGTCGACTGGGTCCAGGAAAAAGCAATATGGCGGATGTTTATAGCGTAGGAACGCAGGTAGGTTTATTGTATCTCTTTACCACGTGAGATGTGACTTTGGTTGAATTTTAAGGGTAATCCGTAGGGGTAGTTCAAGGAATGGGGGTCAGCGTTTTCAACTCACCCACAAGCACATACCCAGCGGAGGGAGTATCCGTCCTCAGCGACAGGGATTGGCAAGGGGCAGCTGTATTCGTGGGCTATAAGGAAAAACGCGCGTGGCCAATTACGTCTCGTTCTCTCTTGGACGTCTTTCCACGAAGGCTATTTTCTTGCCCGAAATATTTAGACTAACAAACAAAATGGCGGCTGATTCTATGTCGTCTTTTCCACGGTTTCTGTTTTAAGCACAGTTGTTACCTAGAGTGTTTACACTATAAAACGTGCTGTAGCAAACTGTCATTTTACGTCCTATTCAATTCCATTAGGCGTGAAATTCTATCTTTTTTCATAGAAACTTGCAGCTTACGATTGACGAAAATTTAGAATAGAATTTGAAATTATGCTGTATGTGTTGCTACCTTTGAATGAGTTGCTGTTATCAACGCTTGCCAATGATTGAAATGAAGAGTGCAGAACACAAAGATTGTTTCACTATTGCCATGTTCTTTCCCCCCTTCATGGCGCCACTGATAAAATAGCTTTTGTCGTCCAGCTACAAACGCCCGCCCGGAGGGGTACTTTAGGACTTTACTTTGGGTGGGTATGTGCCACTGGGCTGGAACCCTTAGCCTATACCAGAGCTAGTTCAGTTGAATTTTGCTACCCTATACTAGACTAAACTCCCCAACCCCCCCCCCCCTTCACTATCGTGGAGTAACTTTTAGGCTGAGTTGCGTAATTTTAAACTTGCCGACCTGATTTTTTTATATTTTTGAGTGGCAATTCCCGGTTTCCCTAGTCTAGACTAAATTATATAAAATCTTCAACTAATTGATCAGTTTCCTGGAAAATGATACCCTATTCTAGACCTAAACTCTCTGATTTATATACGCTATCCCAGAGTAAACTGCTTGAAAACCATACCCTTCACAGCGACACATACTTATATAGCCCATATATGGCAGTCGACCTTGGGAAACGCCCCAAACAGAATGGGCCTTTTGTAAGAAACTTTCTCATGGTATGAAATAGTGAAATATTCTACCCTGGGTATTTTTTCATGACGTGGTAATAACACATGGGGAATCACCTATGTCCTGGGAAAGACCAGGCGCCGGGCAGGATCAACCCCTTACTTGTCGAGTGGAAAGGTGGGTCGCTTTCGTCTCAATTCTATGGCGGACTCGATTAGGGTGATTATAGGAAGCACGAGTAAAGTAGTATAGGGTGCACCGGTTAGGCCTCTTTTTTGGGGAGGATTCTCATTAAGGTGGGGAGGAATACATTAATGCCGATGACGTCATAGGCAATTGTCCTCATCTCATGAATAAAATGTGGTGGATTTAATTAAGTATACTGGTTTGACCGGTTTGTCAGGTTCTATTTTTAGCCTGGTTGATATAACTGGTTTATTTTTGTTTTATGACATAACCTATTGTCTTGAACTCATGAATAAAATGCGGTGGAATAAATTAGCGTCTATGACATACTGTCTGAGGAGTAAAGTCAAACTTGTCTGTGACTTAAAATCACGGAGGCGTAATGTAATAATGCAAGTCCCATTTCCTGCTGCTGTGATTGTCCTCGTTCCGGTTCACTGACTTTTGGCGGGCAAATCGTGCATATTAATGAGGGCAAAGACAAACTAGCTCTTGTCCTATTTGCTGCTGCTGTGATTGGCCTAGTTCCCGTTCACTGATTTTTGGCGGGCAAATCGTGCATATTGTCTTTTTTTGGAATCATTACCCAAGTTCTCAATCTGGGAAATCGTATCATAGACGAAACCTTAATAACTAAATAACCCATTAACTAACTAAATAACTAACTAAATAACTAACTCACTAACTAACTCACTGACTGACTGAATGACTGACTGACTGACTAACCTATTAAAATAACCAACTAACTAAATGAGTGACTAACTAACCCATTAACTGACTGACTGATTGACTAACTAACTAAGCAAATAAATAAATGAATAAATAAATAAATAAATAAACAAGTAAATAAATACATGCTTATTTTTTCAAACGAGTTATACAAAAAACCTATTCGTCATTCATGACTGGTATATGTTTTTTAACGGGGTTTGCACTTTTCGGTAAAATTACTGATGAACTCGTAGCTCCCCTAATTATAGGAAAATCACAACGTTCCTCCATTTTAAACGGGGATTATTGAATTGTTTTGTATCTGTAACCTCGATAATAAAAATGAACCAATCAGCTCGCAAGAAATTGCTCAATTATTTAAAAAAAACACCGTTTGCAAACGAAACGTTTTGCAAGACGCGAGGCGGGAGCAACTTGAGTAGCAAAATTGCGAGCCTGTCTTGGACCATTTATAAAACGACTTCCCCTGGAGCAAACCTTGTCCATTAAAAGCTTTCATTTAAGTACACACCTAAGTATTTTGCTTACTTAACTCTGTGATTGTTTCGCTGGTGCCATGTTCCCTGACCCCAGTTCAACAGGGCCACGTCCCAGGATCGCGAAAAGCGCGGAAAAATAGGTTGTGTCTTTAATCTGCCGGTACACCACGCCAGAATGGTACTCTGTCCTTTTGCAACAAACTGTCGCTTGGAACAAAAAAACCCATGCTGGCTTTTAAACAAAAAATGCAGTGAAATCTTGAAAAGAAAAAAAGTAGCATTATAAAAGATAGACGTATTTCGTTTTTGTGGTCGACTCTATGTCGTTTGCTGACTAGCGTGGTATAGTTGTACCATGTTGCGTTCCCCATAATACAACTCATTTTTGTCAGTCTTTGAACTATTCTTGGGTTTTTTCCCCTTAAACTACGTCTGTCGTTCCTGCATAGTTCCGCAAGGGATTACCAGGCGAATTTTTCTCGTTAAAAGGACCCAAGCAATTGTGTCATTTACGATATTGAAGTAAATTAAAAAATTATGTACATGCAGAAACTTTCAGAGGGCATAATTCATTGTCCAACAACTCTAAAAACTCAAATTTAAATGAAGATATAATTGACGCAGTTGTAATTGCAATTTAAGCAATTGTAGTTTAACCCGTGAATAATTGCGGGACTTCAACGGGATTCGAACACATGGCCTCTGCGTTAGCGCTGTAGTGCTCTACCAACTTAGCTATGAGGACCCATACATTGGGGACAGGCCAATTTGTTGAGTTCATCATAACCCGTGAATGGACAAAAGCAACAATTAACAAGCAGCACAAGAACGCCATTTTGTGTACTGCTTACTATTTGCACAATATTTGCTTAATATTTTCACACACCGTCAACCAACCAATTTCTCAGCCATGAAAGTGGCAAACATTTGCAAGTCACTACAATCAAAATTAGTGAGTCTAAAGAAAACAAAATCCTTCCACAGACTTGATTTGTCTATTTCAACAGGTGCAGGGGAGGCAGCTGCCTCCCTGCCCCCCCCCCCCCCCGCTAGCTACGGCTCTGAACGATAAGTTTGTGCAGCTAAACTAGCCAAAAATGCAAATTCTGCTAGTTGTGCTTTTTTTCGTTATGACGAATTATGCCAAAAATTATGCTAGGATAATCTATCAAAGCCTATTAGACACCAGTTTCAGATTAAACGCCCCTCAAAGACTAAATGACAGTACGGTGGTCTAGCAATCAGTTCCTCTTTCCTTTATTTATCTTTTATATATTTAATTTCTCCAATCCATACAACATAAAAGTACTAAACATTACACATAATAAGCCAAAAATTGCAGAGAAAGGTAGCTGCACTTACATTACTGTCCTAGCACAACTTGAAATAGGCCATTCTCGAGTACTACAAAACTCTCCCAGTTTGAGAACTAGGCTGAGTGCAAAACCTTCCTTGTTATAATGAGTTTTAATTGCATGAGAATAAAAAAATTATTTTCAGGTCAATAGCTTCCCACTTAGCCTTACTTTGAAACAGAGGCTTGGTGCTACTAGAGAATGGCCCATAGACAAAAAAAAAATATGTCATTGTTCATCCAGAATATTCATTCGTTTCTGATTGGCCTAAATCCCCAGGCTAATTGTTCATAATCAGCTAACTTGACCAAATTTGGTATACGTCTGCTGTTAATTTGCGATCGACCTCAATCGCAATGATATAAAACTGAAAAAGGGACACATTACTTTCTTAAAAAAGGAGTGGACAAAATTACAAACATACCACTCGAAGCATGACGACTGCTGTATGAAGATTATCTTCCCACGAAAAAATTCCCTTCACATTATGAAAATGCCAGGGAACAAGACCGTAACTTTATATAGAGATAAATATGTTTTGAATGAATAATGAAATATGTACGGTACTCCTGAAAATTGTCAGTGAATTGACATTCGATTTCCCTTTTTTGTGGTATGTAAAATAAGGTATCTTTTTAGGTTGTCCCAATATTTTTTGGAATTGCCTTATCAAGTTTACGAAACTCTTTTGTAAAAAGAATATTTCAAATTAAACTAAATAGCAGCTAAGCATTTTGAATTAAGGCTTTCCCCTTTTAAACCACAAGAGAAAGAGAAAAAATAAGGACAAGAGGTACGTTGAGCAATGACTTCTCATAGGATTACCGAAAGCGCGAGTTTTTGTACTTTAAGAAGCTAGTATTCCTGTGACTTTAATAATCAGCTTTGTACAGATTACATTGAGCCGATAGGTCTTGCTAAGAAAAAAGCAGATCGCAGTTCGAGAGTTTTCAAGGCGATATTCTCTCAACCACTATCCTGGGTGCCAGAGACTTTTCATGCGGATGAGCGGTTTCCGGTTTCGGTCGAGTCTTTTAGGCCGTGTCCACGCGAATTCCTAAAATAGCTTTTGCCATACTGTATGTGCTTGTATGGTCATGCAAATAAAGCTCGTTGTTGTTGTTATATCCGGATCCGTGTGGACGGAGCCTCAAAAAACGCCACTGTAGAGCGGTTTAATGATAATTCGGTTCCGGTGAGCGGATTCACTGGTTTCGTGTAGACGGAAGGCCAATTCGCATAAAAAAGTATTCGGTTTCAAAAATATCCGGATTCGTGTGGACGTAACCTTAGTGACCCGCGCCAAAAACTCTCGGCTTTGCCGCTCGTGGCTTCGGCCGTAGATGGGTCGCTGCGGCCCGCCGCACTAGGAAAGAAACCTCAAGTACCCAGGTTATTCGACTTCTATCTTCAACTGCTTCTGCCATTTTTGAACGATGCCAGTCGGTAATCCTATGCAGATGTCTATAAAGCAAAACGTTCATAATTAAACTGATATATTAAAGTCTTAACTAGAAATTAACGTTTACAATTTAAACAATTTTACAATTTAACTAGAAATCAACCTTTACAATTTAAACTCAGGATTCGGCTTGACAATGCTCTTGCCCAGACTCCTGCAGCAAGTTGTCAACATTTGACTCAGCCCAAGCCTTCTCCACTTCTTCCCAGTCGTTGTCAGACAAACCTGTTTTTCGTTTTGAGGAAAATTAAAATATTGCCTGTGAGAAACCAATGAATGAATAAGATTTCTTTACAGTACAAGTAAAACTTTGCAAACAAAGGCTTCAGGGTTACTTACGATGAGACGTATCAAGCATCGCCCAGAATCACGCGACATATCCGGGAACTTTAAGCGCACTCCGAGCGCCAAATTTAGTTATTATGCTATTATTCAGTTATTATGCCGCACATTGAGAAACTGCGCACTGTAAGTACATGTCGCAGAAGACAATAGCATTCTGGGCGATGGTTTCAAGCTATTTTTTAACTTAACAAAAAGCCTTGAATATATTTACCAAAACCTGTAAAAATCTCTCCAACTAGATTTCTCCACAAAATGTAGATTTTTGTAGCTAGACCCAAGCGCGGGAAGTCTATTTTCAGCGTAGGAATGTAGAATGTGGCACTGAAGTGATATTGCTATTCTTGCTTTCTCACACCAGCTTTCGCGTTATAGCCGTAGCTTTTCTCCGAGCTTTAAACATTAATTCAGTTTAAAAATTGTTTCACCTTATTGTAACATAATCCAGAACATACATTACGTCTGTCCTGACGAAAGACTTGGTTAACCGTGATGAAATGAGCCATTAATAAAAAAGAAATAGACTTTGCCGTCGTCTCCGAGAAGACAAGAGTTCCTTTTTGCATGACAGACTTGTCACCCTCTCCCTCAGGGGGCCTCTCCCTCTTTTTCACATTCCAAAAAGAACGCCCTGCCACAAACAAATCAGTGGCGGATCCAGGGGAGGGGCCCTGGGGGCTTGCCCCCTCCCCCTTATGTTTAGACCAAACTCAGGCCCCAATGGCCGAAAAAATTTTTCTGGGAGACGCCCCTCCCCCTTTATCTAAGGGTCTGGATAACCGAGCCCCCCCTCCTTATCTCAAGGTCAGGATCTAGCACTGCAAATCTTACTACCTTCTATGTTTAGCACTCCGTCTCACCTGCAAGAAGCTTAAAAACAATTGCATATCCCTGAATCTTTTCTATTTCAATGCCGTGCAGATACACTGTTCGGTCTTTGGGGTATGCAGTGACATAGACGCTTCGAAGGAATGAGCAGTCAGCTTCGTCAAGAGGTTCGTCGACCGATATCTTCGTCTCCCTCTCCGTCAAGGCTTTTTCAAGCTATAGATGAATAAATGAAAGGTTTGATTCAATGCCCAGAGTGAAAATGCTTACCAGGACTGTTTTAAACAAAAATATGTAAGTGAACGTTCTGAGCTGTAGAATATGCTGCCGCCGAGTACTCGGACTCTACTCGTGATACCTCGAGTGCTACGAGTCCAAATCACACAAACGGAGTCGGCGGGCTGTGGCCCCGTTTATGAGGAGAAAAGATGGCCCCGGTTAGAGTGTCACTCGTCACTCGAGCTAACCTTCCTACATTTTCTTTCAAAACTTAGCGAACCATTTACACGAGAAACAAAAAGTCGGCTCGGCAAGAAGGTTGACCGGGCAACCCTTTTCCTATGGTAGAGTTCCCTCCCCTCTTAGCCGGGCTAATATTTCTCTTTTTAAACACTTTGGCTCGCCAAGAGAGGATAAACATCTCTCTTGGGCTGGCTCACTCAGTATGGTCAACCCGGTCAAGCGAGAGAGAGCTTAAGTAACGACGTTGACACACGTTTATCGGAAGTGGCCAACATTTACACACTTTTAAGGCATTAAGCCCCCAAAGATACCTTGTTGAAGATTCTAAATAATTAAATTGATATCCTATATAAGAATCAAGACCCTAATATATAGATTTATCCAAGGCTACAAGCGAAGCTCCCAGTAATAAATTCATAATTTACTTAAAGAAATAAACTTGCAAAAAAACCCCTACTCGTAGTTGAGCCTGCCATCAGTTGAAAGCTAATAACTTGTCAGCGGTTAAATTTAAAGAAACACATCGATACGTTCACGTGATACTAGGCTGATTTAGCAACAGAACGGGAACGTCTGTTGACGACTACGCGCGCAAATCAAACAACTGGCTTGACCAATGACAGAGTTGACAGAGCGGCGAATTGGATACCGGAAGTCGACTTTAGTCCTTTCCGCGCGCTTTCCCGTCTTCAAATGACGTTCCCGTTCTGTTGCTTAATCAGCCTACCAGTAAGCGGATACCGTGCCTTGACAGCTGTCAATTGATCATACAATGGATGTGCAATATAAGGTTACAAGCTCCCACACTAGCTAGAAAATGTGAGATTTCACATTGGTTACTCTGTGGTGCGGACAGACAGTCGGATAACCAAATTTTCTTAGCTATAGGGCTCCGCTCGCGCATGCTTCGCACTTCCGCCTATAGATCGTTTTCACTGTCACGCAACAAAAAAATAAATTGGAAACCGTCCAGTGGAAGAAGCCGAGAAAATGACATGTTACAAAAGACTAATATATAAACAATTTGTCCAAGTCTCAGGTCTTTGTGGCCCACAGTTTCTGAGTTATTCGCCGAAACGTTTCACGCACCCTTGAAGAGCTTTGTATGGAGACGCCATATTGGTGTACCGTTTTGGTCCACCAATATGGCCGCCGGAAATCAACAAAACATCTGGAGTTCACTTTTTCTATAAAAGCTCTTTCTTTTCACTCGAGAACCAGCCTACGTGCGCATAAACATATCTTGTAATACTTGAAATGGTTATACTGCTGAAAATCAAGAGGAGAGACTTTTTTCAACGAGACAGCATTCCTGTTTTGGTGTCACGCACTGTGAAAACTCGGAAGTTCGTATTGCTGTATTTTCGAAATAAAACATGCTACGGGAATGGAAACTTGAACAAAGATTTATTTTTTGTTTATCTTCAACCTAGTCTAAATAAGAATTCGTAAAACCTCGCTGTTTTGACTTAACAGTTTGATGACGTCACTGTGAAAACCATCTATTCAGTGGCAAACACCCGTTTAGGCCGAATACGGGAGTGGCCAGCCTAGGGTCGTATCTGCGCTCATTTGTGATTTTCCTTACCCAGTTGAGGTACTTGTTAATCCGCAATTTTCGCTCCCCTCTGTTCTTGGTTGGTATCAAAACTGAGTTCTTAATTGTCTCCAGATTCTTTTCATCACCGGACTCTTCCGAAAAGGAATCTAACGTGACGAAAATACATACATGTTATGTGGTTAAGTTTTCGATTTAAATATTTTACAACTATATGCGTATTAACGCTTAAAGAAATAACGCAAAAATAATAATAAAAAATGAAAGCAAAGATAACTTGGACCACACGAATACAAAACATTTCGGTCATAGTAGAATTTACAGCGACTAAGCTTCAATAAATCGCTCTTAAATTGCGGACGTTTTCTGGCCAAGCGCGTTTTGGGTTAAACCCATATAATAACTCTTCGTTCTCTTCTCTTACATTTCCCGTGTAAACCCGCCTTACTATAGAAAGTTGGGTGTACAACAATTTTAACCTTTTACCTTCCAAGTCGCTCTGCTCGTCCTCATCCAGATGTACTGCTGTATTTTCGTATTCTTCAGCATCATCGTCATCATCACTTCTGCGGATGCCAACACCAACAAGCTCCCCAACTGCAAGTTGCAATTTATTAGCCATCTCGTTGAGAACCACTTTGCAGCACTTAAATAGAACTGGGCCATGTGTTTTTCTTGTCGCCAGCTTTGGAGAAATGCATTTTGTTTTCAAGCGTCCAGTCAATCGAGCTAGGAAGCTGTTTGGAAAAATGACTCCTCCATCTACCTCAAACTGCAAGTGGATAATGATTAAAAAATGGTTAAACAGAACTATGCACTTAATAACCAAAGAGATAAAAGTTTACTGCATGATGTACTTAGTATAGAATACTAAGCAGTCCGTTTTTTTTCATATTTAAGTACGTGCGAACAGTCAAACAAAACGTCTGGGGCGAGGCTTAAAACGGAGAGCCTACGGGCCTGCGAGGGTCGTGCGCCTTGCACGTTTGAGACTGACGCTACACAAAAACGATTTTGAGGAAAAACCGACTGTTTTGCAATCTACACTTAGTACCTCTAGAGGACCCCTACTTTTGGCCGGTAATAAAAGGAAATTGAAATTTATAGCCTAAGTGCAAGTCGGCCGGGGACCTTCAGCCCGGATACACTCCTTTTTTTCTATAAGAATTTATTTAAATTTATAAGAATATCGAGGCTGAAATTTGCGAAATTTTAAGAATATTTTAAGAATAAACCCCAGGCTGAGATTTTGAAAAAGATATAATTTTGTGTGTTGTAAATCTGTAAAAACAATACAGCTATATGTTTTCAACTTATTCTTTTCCGTAAACGGCAAAACAAGCCAACAAAACGAAAAAACGTGCACCAACTTAATTGATACCCCAATATATTCTTAAACAGAAATGTCATAAGTTATAATTTAAGAATAACACAAGAATATGTTCAGCCTAAAATGGCAGAAAAGTAAGAGCATTCAGCCTGGGCAGGAAGAACAACATTCTTATTACAAAAAAAGAGTAAGGCTTTATCTTTGTTCCGAAGCATAAAATAAAGTGCTGCCGAAAGTCAGGTTGCATCGAACAGCCAACGCATTCCTTTTTCGTATTTATACAGCGGAAAGTGTGATTTAGAACTTGACGGAGCAAACACTTTTCTTGGACCTCACTTTAAGTGGATTCAATTGTCTCTCGACATACGATACCATAAGTCATGTCCCTCGACACTGCCAGACACATGAACAAATACAGTCGATACATGTATACAAACTATACAACGACCAGCTTAGTAGCGTAGTGGAGAGGTTGGTTTGCCGTTGTAGGGAGGTAGGGCTGCTTTTTTTTAAGTGCTTATTATAGCACATTAACGCCATCAAGATGTGTCAATACAACAGAAACCAACAGTTCAAAAAAAAAAAAAAGGCCAAGAACACAAGAGAGTAAATTAAGGTGGAGTGCGTATACACCGGTTTGCTTCACTTTTAGATGTTCTTCGCGGAGAGGTTATTTTGGCACTTTAGGCGCAATCTAGTGGCCGCTGCCATTTAGCAGTATAAGGTGGTCTTGAAAAGCAGGTAAATAATCATCCATTTTTCATTACCTCAGTAAATCTCTTGCCTCTAAGTTTCAACCGCTCACTGTAAACTACTGAAGTTATCAAACGAAGTTTGTGACCTCGGATATCTTTGACTTTGTCGCTGTCCAGTTCTATTAACTTTAATATATCACGCAACCCCGGTTCTTGTACGTACACTTTGTGTATCTTCCCCATTTCCAGGTTTCCAATTTCTTTATTTACTTTAACCTTCGCATTCGCACACGCTCCTACTTGAACCTCAGCTTCAACTTTCCTAAATGAGATAGAGCAAAACAGTGACATTATTCCTGGGGGGGGAGGGGGGGGGACTCCCGTATATAAGTGACGAAAATGCTTGTCGTCTTGCTTAGGGGTGTAACTGGCAAATTTTGGCCTCACTTGGGTATTAGGGACGGAAAGTCACAACATTTGCCCATTCAGGTATCGCTTGGGCTGTGCATAAAGAAATTTACAGATCTATGACAATGATTTTGAAATCTTTTTGAAGATAAACGCATTCTATGTTAACATCTTTAACATAACATCTTTATGGTCTCCTTTTGAGCTCAGTGTAAGTCACACCCACATTGGTCTCCCTTAGGGGTTTCATTTTAATGTTCCAACGAGTATCCCCTTTACTTTTATATGGGAGTCCCCACGAGGCCATTATAGACTAAATATCTGGTTTCAATTTCCTATTGTCATCTCCATCAGACACCATCAACACACACGCTTTTGTTTGAAAAGAACGGTCACACTGACCATGAGGAGTCTGAGAACGAGAAAAGGAGAAATGAAAGAGGAACTTGAAAGAGGAAGACTTGCTGTCAGTTACCAGTCCCCCGCCCGTTCTCTCCCCATTCTCCCACTCGTTCTTCTAAACAGGACAGTGATGACTATGGAGTAGGCTCGAGTAGGCTAGTACCGGCACAGATCTGAATCTATCTCCGCTTAAGAAAAAAAAAACAACAAAAAACAAAGGAAGAGCCAAACAGAATGCATAAGTAGGTTGAGTATAAACGTCCGGGTTAACGTAGTCCTGAATAGGACTGTTGTTAACAGTGACTGACGTTTCCACAACCTAGGCGGTAGTCATCTTCAGAATCAAAGTGACTTGTATCACGTTAGTTGATGGTAACTCTGGTTTTTGATCTGATTGGTCAATTAAGTCGCGATGTTCTTGGTCGTCTGTCAGTGTTAGGCCACGATGTTATTGGCTATGAAGACTCGTAATCAGTAATTGGTGCGTTTCGATCCGTCTATTGTCACAGTTAAACAGTCGTTTATTGTTAGTCAAATTGTCGGTAGTCCAGTCATTCTCTCGTAGTTAGTTTTGCTTGAGTCCGTCCATACGTCGTTTGTACGGTGCCAGCAACTGTTGACTACGATTCAGTGGCGTTTTTTCTAAGTTAATAAAGGCAACTTTCCAAAGTGAAAGGTTGGTAGTTGTCTGTAGAATACGTAATAGATGTGGCAGAGTCCCAGTCGATTTGATGTTTCGTCTGTAAATGGTGTTCATCAATGTGATTGTTGACGTCACCATTTATAGATGCTCGTTTGTTTTCGGTCAATCGCGTGCTAATCCCGGGGTGCTAATGTTTCTGCCGGCTTCACCGATGTAAGCGGCGTGGCAGTCGCGGCATTCGATCTTGTGTACAGCTCTCTGTCTATCCTTCGGTTTGTTTTTGTCCCACATTAGTAACTAGTCGTCGTAAAGTGGTCATAGGTTTGTGCGCAACACGTATATCGTAAGCTTGTAGTATACGCGCGATAGCACGCGACTGTTGGGCCGGGGTACTTTTTTCACACGAAGAGAGTGGCGAAGCCGAAAGGGAAAATCAGTTTGATTTTTTAAATATCAATTTGACTTGCTCTCAATCTTCACGTGGCTCCGCCGCCGAAAAACTACAGCACTCGCCCGCTATTCCCACCAGCCACTTAGGCTAATTTTTTCAGCAAGTCATTCCCTCTTATTCAGTTGAACAAGAAAAATAAGCCTGGTGATCCGGTGATAGACTGCCAAAACAAGGTACGTAAGATTACCCTCTTTCTTCTTATATATTTAAATCTTAGACCTTTGGAGATATCCTGGTATTACATATGCCCATCACTCCAGCAGGGAGATTATTTTATTAATGTATATTGTTATCATTGAAATTATTAGTATTAACCTCCAAGTATAAGTCAAGGCTGTTCTGCCAGTGAGTAATTACTTGTATCTGAACTATATGCATGATCCAAGATCAAAACGGTGACCAGAAAAAGTTTCAGACGGGGCAAAAAGTTTAGGAAGGAATGATTCAATTATCTTACCTGCCAGTTGCCGCGTCATCTCCTTCATCGTTCTCATTGTCCTCGTCCAGTTCCAGGGTAACTTCAACGTAATCTCTTTTAATTTCCCTCTCCACAGCATTTTGATATTCTTCTTTTTTACTTCGATTCATGTAAGTGTCTAATCCACCAAGGAAGACGAGAGAATTGGTTTTGAACGGACGAAGGAAAACATTTCTTGGTTTTTTTGCCATAAGTGCAAGTATTTGAACTTTTTCCGTGTTTCCTTGATGCACTGGATAGAAGAACTCTTCACCGTCCGCCCCAAAGTTCTGTTGCGCAAATGCTCGAAGTGCTTGCTCAACCATCTGCATAGCAAGGAAATGAAAAAAAGTGTTTATTGTTTGAAAGGACGCTAAGTCAGTTTTTCAGTAAAGTTGTCTCTAGCGTTGCCTTTGTCAGATCGAAATGTCCCCATTTTGGCGACGGAGGCAAGGAGAGCGGGGAACTATTGACCCGTAACACTCACCTTTAGTTGTGATTTGGAAGCCGAAAGTGCCACTAAACATGACGAGTCTTTTAAAATATTTTGCATTGCAGCGAACTGTAAAATGTCTTATTTACGCCGAGTGTCGACTCTTCCTCAAAGAATTGCTTTTAATTCCAACTCAATCCGGCAAAACCTTAAGCCACGAGATGCCGGCATGTATAACTTTCCAGTTTTCTCAGTATACCCGTAACCACGGCTGCTTCGAAGTGACGTTTTTCTATTCAGAGGCGTCTAAAAATGAACTAGTGCAAGAGATACAGTGTCTATGCTTTTTCTTCTAGTACTTCCTTTCTTTTGGCACAATAAGAGGTAAGGACACTTTGGGGTCAATTTGTCGTGGGATTCTTGATATTTCGCACTTTCACCATCTTTTCTTTTCTCAACACGAATATCTTCTCTTTCCCGGGTAACTCTTAAGTTTTTCAAACCTGTTCTAAGCGATCGTTAAGCTATTACCCCCGAAAGATTACCGCTTAATACATGTTTGAGAGTATATTCACTTTACGAAGTAATATTTTTTAGGTACAGTATATTAACAGCGTGAGGAGATCTTTAGTAAGCTTTGTTAAGGATTGAATGTCAAATTGCGGCAAATGCTACCGCTCAGACGTTCGTGAGCGAAAACTCGAGCAGAGAACGGCGGCAGTTTGGCCATTTCTACTTTACTGACCCTTCGTTAGTCCTGCAAAAATCAAAGTGGTAGTGACTCAGGAAGCAGAAACCGAAACTTGTACCAAGAATAAAATTAAACCACAACACAAAACATTGTGCATAAAATCAGGAAAAATTAGTTTCCTCAAAACACAATCAGTCTCAACTCCCATCCTCCCATGTGTCATGGTTTAATTCAAAAGCCTCTTCTCTGAAAACTAACACTTCAATGAATGGGATCATAAGCATTCTGATTTCTAGTGTAAACCACTATCAAGATAACTTTTTCAGTTTTTTGCTTCTTAAATATGCAGATTTTTCAGTAGTTTGAGTGTCCTTGCAGTTGTTAAATTTTTTTATCTGGAAATGTCCAGTTTCTCTCTAAATAGAGATTTTTTTCATGATGACGTGTTCATCTGAGTTTTTCGTCTTTTTTCCTAAGTACCCGAAAATCGACGGCAATGATGAAAAACTTTCTAGATTTTTTTGGAATTTAGCTTCATTTTAGCCACTCAAACTAATGCGCCTGAATGATTCGATGAAAAGTCAGCCGTGAAGACCGACATTTAGTGAAGAAAGACCACAAACTAACCTGTGTCGGAAAATGTCCAATTTGTGAAAAGTGTCCTCTGTTTTTAACGTTTGTTTATCCTTTACAAAGCAAGTTAATTATAAAGCAAGCTCAACAGCGAAACAACTGCTGCCAGGTCTTCTCAAGAAGCTGTAATGACCAGCCATTGTTCGTAAATGAATATATGTTTAAAGTGGGATGACAGTCGTCTTCGTTAAAAGAGAAGTTTTCTGGATTTCGCCGAGCAAAACATAAACATCTTTTCAGCAAATAAGGCCAAACCATACTCCGGGGGCGGATCTAGGGGGAGGGTGCAGGGGGTGCGTACCCCCTTCCTGAGATGACCTGCGGTTTTCTAATACAACTGGTATTCTGCAAAAAAAAAAAACCTATGTGGTTTATTGGTGTTGAAGTAGAGCAAGAGACGAGTGCACCCCCTCCTAAAAAAATCCTGGATCCGCCATTGTACTCCACGACTTTTTAAGAACATGTGAGTATTTTAACTTTAGTTGGACTTTAAGACTCTTTTACCTTTTTTCTGCTTAGTTTCCATTAATCGTTAACGAAAATAAGCAAATTTTCTTCCTCAGTTTTACAGAAAGAATTTTCATTCAAACTAGACGTTTGTGGCGTGTTTGAATGAATCAGCCAATAGAAGCGTTTGTTATTGTGTCATGCATTACGAGAATTTTGCAGTTAATCAAAAATCATATTTGTCAGCTATGTTATAAAAGAATTTGGTATGGGGCTCCGCTACTAAATGTCAATTCAGTGCCATAGTTTCAACGGCACTTTATCGTTTACAACGCATGCGACTGAGTGCTTCTTTTGCTCTTCGAAGAAGCAGAATCCATTTCAATACCGCCATTTTTGATAACGTGCTTGTCACAGAAAACTTATAACCCCGGATCTTCATGATAACTTATTATTATTCTTGGAAAATCTGGCACCAGAGGAAAAGAGATAATTAAGAAGTCCGGTTAAACGAGGTCGCAATAACCGAGATTCTACTTCAGTGCCGATGACATTAACATGATAACATGGAATTTCTTCACCACATGAATCACAAACTGCATCAAAGGATTTTTCTCACTTACATGTATTTTTCTTGGTTTTATTGAACAAGGATTAGTATATATATATTAGTGTATATATAGGATTATATATTTTCTGAACTGGTTAGAATATTTTTAATTAACGGTCACTCGCTAAAATTGCCTGATGACTGTGGTAGGAAACGTAGCTGTAGCAATAAAGCGATGTATAACCTCTGAAGCCTGGAACTATCTTCCAATTTGCATTAGGATTATATTAATATATATAGCTTTAGAGAAACTTTGGAGAAAATGATGTACAAATACACCGGTTTTCATGTTGTGCCGATTAGAAACCAAAAGAAACAAACTTGACTTCGTTTTCGTTATTAGACTGCAGTTGAGGTACAACACGGAGTCAATATTTAAAGACAGAAAATTCAGTAAATCACAAAATGAGTTCTCCAATACTAAACTAACTGCAGTTTTCATGACATGTTACTGTTTGGCGACGTTATAAATGTAGAGCACCACTCAAGCATTCTGTGGCATGTTGTCTATGCGGAAATTCTGTTGATTGGTTTGTTTGTTTTTTTTTCCAACCCATCACGTTAATACGCTCTGGATCAAAAAAGAAAAAAAATAGTAGTAATAAACAAATAAAAATAATAATATAAAAGGCTGGTAGATACAATGAAAACCAAGTTAGGTAAAGTTTCTTTTAATACCAATTTAATTTTCATACGTAACAGGAGAGATTTCGAAAATGATTTGATCAAAAAGTTAAACGCTAAAATATTTTTAAAATACATTTAAAAAACATTTAAAAAAGTGAACGACGTTTCGGTGCTACGTTACGCCATTATTGTGATTTGTTAGCTCGTGTGCCGGAGGGTTTTGGAGTTGCGCTACTCGGTAAAGAGATTCTGCCGTATCGTTCTACAAAAGATTTGGAGGTCATCGTGGACTCGCGCCTTAGTTTTGACGAACATGTGACCGAGGCTGTATCTAAGTGTACAGGTAGCCTGTGCCAAATCAATCGTGTGAAACATTTGTTTGATAGGTCTACGCTTATAACCATCATAAATTCATTAGTGTTCAGCAAGCTTTTCTATTGTTCGTCCATTTGGTCTAGTAAAACAAAAAAGAACATTGCTAAGCTTCAAAAAGTTCAGAATTTTGCGGCACGGATTGTGACTGGCGCAAGAAAGTACGAGCACATCACGCCGATGTCAAAGGAACTCCACTGGTTGCCGATTGCTAAGCAACTGGAGGTTAGAGACATTTTAATGGCTTTCAAATGTATAAAGGGATTAGCCCCACCATCCTTGTGTAATAAGTTTTCGACAAGAAGCCAGGTGCATACTAGAAATACTAGGACTAAAGATAAACTTCATATACCATCTTTTAGATCAGCAACAGGTCAGCGATCTTTCTCGTTCAGCTCTGGAATGACCTCCAGAAAGTTGAGCAGACATAGAGTCATTTAATGTTTTTAAGAACGCGATTAAAGGACGTGCACTTGACGAGTTTTTAAGCCATTGACGCTCAATAGGTGTAATTATGCATATTTTGTATTTTAAATAATATGGTAATGTTTTATCACTTTCAAATGATTATTTTGGATTTCTATTGTTCATATTAGATTTTATTGTAATTGGTATGTGAAAACCCATTTTAAATGGATGTACCAATAAAGCTGATTGATTGGTTGATTGATTATCAAGTTGAAAACTGAAAAAGTATAAGATGTAAAACGAATATATAAAATTTGAAACAATACATAAAATATTTGCGGGTCCAATGGGTATAATTCCCAAGGTAAGAAACACAATAAGAGAAAAATAAAAAATGTACGAAAGTGTCACGTAAATAGTTTGGCGCGAATGGAGTCGGCTTGGGTGTTAAGAAAAGGCTTGATGTCCTTTATGTATAACATCTCGTAGACTGAGTGAGTTGAGTGTTGACCATCGGGGGCTTGTTTTCCTTGGCACTCGAGGTTTGTGACAGTTTTCTACTCGTAAAAACGGGATTTACGTTAACATCGATCTTGGCTCCCAGAGAATAGATATCTTTGCGTACACGATCAGCTGATCGCTGATCTTTAAAGGGCAATACTATGTAAACAGATGGGTCAGATACAAGAGAGGGCTAGTCAACACGATGGTTAACCGTGCGTACCGTCTATCTTCAACCAAAGAAGGTTTTGCAAAAGAACGCAACAAGTTACGCACCATATTTTCAAAGCTGCGCTATCCGAAAACATTGGTCGATTCCACTATAAATAAGTTCAGCCAGGAACCAGGTAAAGAAATACGCACCGCGCCTTCAGTTGACCCATCTGTTTACATAGTATTGCCCTTTAAAGATCAGCGATCAGCTGATCGTGTACGCAAAAGATATCTGTTCTCTGGGAGCCAAGATCGATGTTAACGTAAATCTCGTTTTTACGAGCAAAAAACTGTCACAAACCTCGAGTGCCAAGGAAAACAAGCCCCCGATGGTCAACACTCAATGCGTTGTATACTTATTTCAATGTGATTTGTGCGATGCAAATTATGT